CCAATGACCCATTTACTTGATTAGAGTCAGTTATCTGATCGTATTCTATCAAGTTTTAGAATAGTTGATACCTCGTTAGCTCTATTAGGCTTATAAGTAATCAGCTAAGTTACTTAGTGATAACGTATCCGATTATTTTATGTTGTTCTAAGATGAGACCAATATTAATGTGGTCAAATGGTACTCGACCATGTGCAATACAATTTTCATTGTCCACGTAATATGTCACAAAGTTATGACCTCAAATCCATTAAAATAATATCATTAAAATTAATTACCACATCACACGGTATTCTTCATTTTAGAATTCAGAACCCCAGTTGTCTAAAAGATATCTCAAAAGTTAAAAGAAAAATGTGTGTTTAATTTAATTTTTAGTCTCTACAGCAGTACGAAAGTATTAAATAAAAAACAAAGAATAATATATCTTAAAAAATTAACATTAAATTAGTTTCTCTACTTTTACTTGTAGATAACCTTCTTAAGATTGTAACTTCGTTTTTGTTTTTTATTTGTATTTGTTTCCTTCCCTTGTATATACTTCGAAAATCAAAATGAATATTTAACACTATTAAAAAATTTCACATACGCCTCTCTTTAATGTCTTGACTAAGTCGCCGGGACCCTAAATAAAATAATTTGAGCTCGAAATTATAATATTCACAATTTTAATTAGAATTATAAGATGAAAATATTTTTTATTATTACAGAGAAATTCTGTTGCTTGGTTACACTTTTCTGGACTCTCGTTAATTTTCACTACGAATCCAGCGTTTCATTTGAGAAACAGAAATAGCCTTTACCAATTCGTTCTTTAATTAGGACTTTCATATTTTAAGATGGAGAAACCTAAGTGTTTCGGTAGATATTTTTGGGACCGAGAGACTAACCTGCTGACGTGTCTGGGCCGCTCGCTCGCTTCCAAACTCCTGCTATTGGCCGATCGGTGTTGGCACAAACCGATCGGTCTCCTTCTTGACGAGGGGGATGTACCTGCAAAAGGTACTCCGACGCCCAAGTTAGGCGTGTGATTTGAAGAGCCTCGGCTCTTGTTTGAATATTTAGTGAATGATTATCCCTATTGAATATTTGAGAGTAGCGTAGAGTAAATAATGTGTAAGTGGAACGTACCTGGCTTTCAGTCCTGGCTTTGTATATATAATTTACCTCATGGATCCTAAGCTGATATAAGCCCAATAAAATATAAACAGAATAAGATATAAACAGATTACCTGAATATCCGGTTGGTTGTTTGTAACCACTCGGTTAATATTTTATACTGTACACTATGCCCCCCAAGTCCGAGTTAAGCATTTGGCTTTAGCCATGGTTAACTATAGGACTGATGAGTTTGAGGGAGGCTGCATTTGCGGAACTGAAAGAGTTTTACCGCTCGACCTTCAACATTAACTGAGCGGGATTTTACCGCTCGGCCTTCAACAGGAACCGAGAGCAATCTACCTCTCGGTCTTCTACGTTAACCGAGAGGGTTTTACCTATCGACCCTCGACATTAACCGAGCGGGATGTACCGCTCGTCCTTCAACATGAACAAGGAATTTACCTCTCGACCTTCCACATTTACCGAGAGGGGTTTACCTCTCGACCTTCGACATTAACCGAGAGGGATTTTACCTCTCGACCTTCCACTTTAACCGAGAGGGTTACCTCTCGACCTTCGACTTTAACCGAGAGGGGTTTACCTCTCGACCTTCGACATTAACGAGAGGGATTTACCTCTCGACCTTCCACATTTACCGAGAGGGGTTTACCTCTCGACCTTCGCATTAACCGAGAGGGATTTACCTCTCGGACCTTCCACATTAACCGAGAGGGATTTACCTCTCGACCTTCAACTTAACTGAGAGGGATTTACCTCTCGGTCTTCAACTTTAACCTAGGACTTACCGTTCGTCTTTGAGAGGGCTTTACCTCTCTCCCGAGAGGGATTTACCGCTCGGCTTGACCTAGGAGTGCTTCCTAGGGAACGGGCTTTACCGTTCGGCTTTGAGAGGGTTTTACCTCTGTTTTGAGCTAGGATTGTTTCCTAGTGAACGGGATTTACCGTTCGTCTTTGAGAGGACTTTACTCTCTCTCCGAGGGGATTTACCGCTCGGTCTTCGACCTAGGAGTGCTTCCTAGGGAACGGGCTTTACCGTTCGGCTTGAGAGGGTTTTACTCTGTTTTGAGCTAGGATTTTTCCTAGTGAACGGGATTTACCGTTCGTCTTTGAGAGACTTTACCTCTCTCCCAGGGGGATTACCGCTCGGTCTTCGACCTAGGAGTGCTTTCTAGGGAACGGGCTTTACTTTCGGCTTCGAGAGGGCTTACCTCTCGACCTTCGACATTAACCGAGAGGGATTACCTCTCGACCTTCCACATTTACCGAGAGGGGTTTACCTCTCGACCTTCCACATTTACCGAGAGGGGTTTACTAAGAAAAACAAATAATGCAAGGCTGTTTTTTTGGTATATTTCAACCCATGCTGTTTATTGTTTTGGAAAATTTTCCTTGTCCGAATTCAAAGGGGAAAACTGGATATTACACATAAAATGATATTATAAATCTGTTGACCAATTTCCATGTTTTCTGTAAGTGATTGGCCTTAGTTTCTTCTTTTCAAAAAAACAAAGAAGAAAAAACATCTTTGGAAAAACAAATAATTAATGAAGGGCTCCACAAAGAATAACTAGTCTTGACATTTTGAAAATCAGGCTGCGTAATTTTTTATCGTGCTACACGATGAGTAGACTCAAATAATTGAACAAATATGACTCAATTTTTACTTTAGTGTTAATAATATGAGAGTTATTCATTTGTTGATTTGTTTAAAATATTACATTAATCTCTAATTTTACAAAGAAATATCATTTAGTTTAATTGTTATTGTTAACTAAAAGTTAATATGTTTCACAATAATTTGAAATTGACAAACTAAAGTAAATGATTTATAGAGTTAAATTAGGATTATTAACAAAGCGCTCCTAATTAATCAAATTCATTATGATTAATTAGGTTGACAAATTAGTTGTGGTGTTGGTGAAACGGCCCTTCATCTTTCTCATTTTAAAATTTTGTTTAAACAACTAGTTGCACAGTAGTGATGAGTGAACAAGGTACGAGGCATGTTTATTATCTCAATTACATTAGTATTAATTTTGAAATTCTCTAAAATATCATCACCGTACTTGTCCACAATTATATCATCACCACAAATGACAATACACAATACTATAAACACACATAAGATCCGTTAAAGATTTATTTCAAACAACTAAAGAAAAAAAATAACAAACAAGGCATTGACACTTAGAGGTGGTGCCCAACGCCAAGCTTCTTGTAGAAGGTGACAGTCGGTAGCATAATGCTGCCACTTAGCACCAAACCTTTCACAAAAAGTGACGCTAAACAACAGTCTTAGCATTCAGTGTCATTCTCCTCATAAAAAGACTCGCTCAACAAAACACTATTTTCGCTCTGCGTCCTAGAACAAAATTGCTCCAAACATGTAGTAAAAAGTGACGCTTAGTGATATCTTGCCACCTCTTAGTGTTAAAGCATTTACAAATAATGACGTTTAACGGTCTAGAGCTAAAATGTTCATGCATAAGGAAGTGGCGCTCAATGCTAACTTGCCATTGCTCAATGCTATACTAGAAATCAATAGATGAAAAATTAGTGATTTATGAAAATAGAACCTATTCAAGTGATCAAATTAATATTCCTTACTCAATACTTGGTGAACAAACAATTTTTAATATGAAGGCACGTACCAATTGGCTCAATTAATCAGATTCTCACTTTCCCAATTCAACTCCAATTAACCAATTCAACAAGCAACATCGAAATCAATCAACAATTCAACCATTCTCATCAAACCAAACATGCGAATTAAATTCTCAAAGCATCTACAACTCTAAAACAATGTAATTAGCTTCCCTTACTTGAAAGAAAGACGAACTTGCTTAAAAGAAACCCAAACACCTTTCAAGCTCACAAAATGTCTTATCTGCACTTAGGAACAATACAAACACGATCAAGACATACCATTAGAGCAACTAATCAGTAGAGACTCATATTGATGACTCAAAATGTGTATGTAAGTAGAACAAGACTCACATGCAACAAATAATAAAAAGATCAAGAAAAAAGGTTGAAACTCAACTTACTCAAATGGAAAATTGATAAGTCTAAATTGAAGAACTTATAGTTAAAATCAATCATACCGTCTCAGTTCTTCAATTAGACGATATAAAAAAGTCTAATAACTCTAGAAATTTGATTTCTAAAAAGTTGATGTGATTTAAAAAAATAAAACTTGTTGATAACAAAACTATTTATATTAAAATATTTAAATATTAAAGTCTCCCTATTTCCAAACCACCATCATTTCTATTTTCTACCTCTTTATTGCTTTTTATCAATGTTTATAATTATAATAATTGTTTTGTTTAATGATTAACATAATTTGTTTTCCAATAGTTTGATAGAATTCGTTTTTTCAAGTGTGGACCAAAATTTTCCGCCATGATTTTTGCCCATGTGGATTAGAAAACTTTTCAACTCAGATGAATTAAAAAGTCTTAAAAAAAAAACCCAATTGATAATGTCATAAAATTTATCTTTATCAATTTAGTTTAACTAATTGTTAACCAACATTTGAAAATATTTTCAGACGACATCAATAAAGAAAAATCTTCGTCAATATTAAAAATATATTAAAAAAATTAAAAAAATATATATATTAAAAAATTAAAATTTCAACAATGTATTTTAATGATCAGAAGAGAATAGCACTAAAAAAGTCCAGTAAAAAAGAATCTGAACTCGCAAAAATTGATTCACACACAAATAAATACATAGTAGAACAATGTTATACACATTAGCAAATATAAATGGTGTGTGTAAAATGCATTTACATATAATCATATCATGGAATTAAACAATACACAATGATGAAACTTTGAACAAAACGAAAGACTTAGCTGGAAATAGTAACAATGGCAAGGTTGACTGATTCTGTGTTTGGTGAACACGTTGCAGAGACTTTAAAGTCTTCCCTGGACCCTTCTTCACGCCTTCCTCCTTTAATGTCTGATTTCTCATCATTCTTCTCTTCACTTTCCATTGCAATGCCAACCACCATGAACACCACCAACTTCTTCCTCATCCTGTTACTCCTTCCAATTTGCTTCTTATGGCTTGCTTTTGGGGGCACACTTCCAGAGAATGAAGGTAGGAAATGCATGTAAATGTATCTCTTGTTACAAACAAAAAGTTGTTTCAGTGGTCACATTGCTTATAGAAATTCAATGTGTGTTTATGTTATAGTGTCAGTGCTGAAAGATATAGCTAAAACACTTGGAAAGAAGGATTGGGACTTCAACGTGGATCCATGCAACTGGACCAACACACTAGATGATGGGATGTTTTGCAATTGCAAAATACCCAATGACAGCTTCTGCCATATTGAGAAAATGTATGTCCCTTTCTCTTCACTGTCTTTAATTTTGATGTGTGTACGATTAAAAAAAAAAAAACTCTTTTCTATAGAATGTAAATTTTGATATGCTTAAGGTCTGAAATTCAGCTCGTGATGCTTAAGGCATGACGTCGAACTAGGGATGTTCAAGACATGTTTAATGATCAACAAACAAAGGTCAAATATTCAATAATATGTAAGTTGACAAATTGTTAGAAACAAGTCGATCTTGGTAGAATGGTGTGCTAGTCTTGCATTTTATTTCTAAAGAAAGAAAATATAAACACCAAGACAAATGCATTTTGTAATGTACAAAATTAATCAGTTTAATGTACTTTACCGTGTCAATATGAAGCTAGTTAACTGTATTTTATCTATATATCAGTATAAGTTTTCTATTTCACCTTATTTATTATCTATACTTAAATTAGTAAGAAATCAAAATAATAATTTTATGAAATAGAACGATATGAATATGAGAGTGAACATTGTTTTTTTACGGTGACACACTCATCATCTAAATGGTAACATAGAGAATAATAAGATAATAAAAATTATTAAAAAAGTTCATAAACTTTTGAAAATACGGTGAAAATGACATACATGGGTACTGTTTTATTCTCTTTATCGACTACAATTATTATTTCAGTTCTAAAAAAGCAACAACAATAGTTATTTCTCAGTGTTTGGTTCAAATAGAACCGGGATTTCTTAAACGAGATTTTATGAATGGAAAAATAATATTGGTGTACAGATTTCACCAAAACTATTTGATAAAATTCTTTAACATATATTAATCAAACTAAAACTGATTAATATATCCCGCCAATTGCATATCATAAAAGAAAAGAAAAAGACAAATTTGCATGCACAAATTATCATAAATACTCTGTTTTTCTATCATATTCATAGATACTTGTAACTAATTTTCAATTTTTTTGTGACAGAGCTCTGAAATCACAGAGTCTTCAAGGCGTTCTCCCCCCACAACTGAACAAATTACCTTATCTCAAAGAAATGTATTTAATACTCTGAAGAATAGTATGAAGTAGTGTGCATGCTAATGTTTCACTGTGAATCTGATTCGTTGCTTTCTTTTATTTTGGTACAGTGAACTCAGTCGTAACTACATTAGTGGTTCCATCCCTCGAGAATGGGGCTCCTCCAATCTTCAAAAAATGTGTGCTTCTCTTCCCACTTATGAATTATCTCATTATGTCTTCAGCATATGATTAATTGCACAAAAGGGTTTTATCTAGGTTCTAACATGTCTTTGATATCATATCTACTTATATACTATAAATTGGTCTTATCTAGTAAACATGGGACTTTCAACAGGTATTGTTATGGTGTCTTGTGTTTTGTATCATGCGTGTGAGGAAAGACTATATAATTTAGCAATACACCCTTTAACATTTTTGTCTCAAACATTATTCAAATTCATGTGATTTTCATTCCTGAGTTACTTTGTTTCATGTTACATTAATCTAATTTGTGTTTTTCTCTAGTTCACTCCTTGGAAACAGACTAACTGGTCCAATACCAAATGAGCTGGGAAACCTCACCAATCTTACACGCTTGTGAGGTTTTACTTTCCTCATTCATTGAGTTTCTGTGTATAACATTTCAATATAACATAATTTGAAATGCACAGGATCCTTGAGTTCAATCAATTATCTGGAAATCTTCCTTCAGAACTCGGAAATCTTGTCCTCCTTCAAAAACTGTTAGTTCACACTGCTGTTTCATTTCATTCAATTTTGCTGTTTAGTCTTCGACAATCAAGACCATCCTCTAATGTTGACATAAAAAAGTGTTTCACCTAAGTTTTGTGTATAATAGCTGTTAAGTTCATGATAATGAAACATGTCAGTGCTGGTGATTTATTGTTACTACAGGCATCTAAGCTCCAATAACTTCACTGGTCCACTGCCAGCAAATCTTTCGAGACTTGTTGCAATGACGGAATGGTATGGTTCTTATTTAAATTTTGTGTAGTTACTTTGAATTATATTATAAATTTTGATTTGGAACTGACAGTAATTTTGCATGATTGTTCACACATGTGGCAGCCGAATAATTGACAACCAGTTATCTGGCAACATACCTGATTGGCTTCAAAGTTGGACAAGTCTTGATCACCTGTACAAAACATTTTCATTTCCTCTGTTTTTGTTATTGTAGTTTGATTTCATTTCGACTGTTGATCCTTAAATATGATCAAAATGTAATCTTATTTTGAAGACATATGCAAGGCTCTGGTTTGAGTGGACCAATTCCTCCTGGAATTTCATTTCCACACTTATCCGACTTGTAAGCATGAACTTCTGATATTAAGTTAGACCATTTATTTAGCTTTTCTATTTGATCTTGTTTTAAGTTTTATAGTCTCTATTTAAGAAAATTTTATTTCCACATATGCATAAAATTTTGTTTGGCTTCTAACACCAGAAAGCATTTTCTAGTGGTGGAAAATCCCTACACAAGTTTTGTTACAGTATTAAATTAGCAAAAAAGACTACAGAAATTAAAACTTATTTCTTATTATTAAGAAGTAGATTTTAAGCCTAATCCGATCCGATAACCTTGGAGAACAACATGCCCAACAAATAACAAATATATCTACAATAGACTCTAATCTGGAACAAATATCGCTAGTATAGACTTTAACCTAGCTTTGATACTATGTTAAGAAGTAGACTTTAAACCTAACTCAACTCCACAAAACCAACTTATAAGGTAAGGTTTGCACCCACTTATATATTATAAATTAGTCTTATAAATTGGTTTTATCTCTGGTTGATATAGAACTTCCAACACTCGTATAAGAACTAAAATTTTAAAGCTAGATGATTAGAGAGACTAAATAAATAGTTTAATCTTTCATTTGTTAGTAGGGCCTCAACACTGAATTTCTCTCTAACTGTTGTTTTTTCATCCTTTAAATATGAAATGCAGGAGGATTAGTGACTTGAACGGACCTGATTCAACTTTTCCACCACTTGAAAATATGAAAAATCTGAATACTTTGTGAGTGAATTACTTTAATTGTTTATTCTAATTCTTTTCTTGAAGTCAGTGCCTCACTGTAGGTACTGATTTGAGAACGTCTAAATCTAAAGAATGAGATATCAACAATTTGTTATTGCAGAATTCATATATTTGATTGTTTGACAGGATATTAAGGAGTTGCAATATCAATGACACATTTCCTCAGTATCTTGCAGACCTGCCGAAATTGAAAACTTTGTAAGTTCCAATTCTCTTTTTTCCCAAAGATCATCTAAGATCCTTACAATTTGAAAAGTCTAATGGATATAACATGACATGCTTCTTGTGGTCCTCACATGTAGAAAATACATATTATGATTTTTATTCTCAGCACTTTTTTTGACATTTTCTTGATAAAATTTTTCTTTCAGAGACCTAAGCTATAACAAATTATATGGACAAGTGCCAAGAAACCTTCAACAATTAAGTGCAGCAGCCTACATGTGAGAATTTTTAACATTTCCTAATTTTAGTCCAAAACGGAATACATATATTCTTTTGGTTGCTGAATAAAGTAAGATAATATTTAGATATTGTACTTTAGCTGCATACTTTGCAGAAGCTACTTTAAATTTATAGATAATCAAATGATCATTAGGTTTCATATATTATACCCTCATTTTGCCTCTTTATCATATCTTCATATGTCTATGTGTACCAGTCACTAGATACAGACAAGGCTGTCTGGTTTTCACAGGAAGATCATCCAAGAACCTGTCTTTACAGTGTTAATAAAATCTGGGAACTTATCACAATTCAAATAAATCAAATTCTACTTAGAAAAGAAAAAGAAAGCATGGTAGGGAATCATTACAGTGTAGACTACTACCTTATTTATCTTTTGATAGGCTTCATCAATAAATGGTGTGCTCTCAGCTTTGGTTCTTGTATCTTATTTTACTTTAAGTATTGATAAAAAATTTGCTTTAGATATTTAACAGGAAATTTCTTCACTGGACCGGTGCCTGAGTGGACAATGGACAATAGCAGGAGTTTGTGAGTCCTAATTTGAACATTACACATATAACCCCTTTGAAAATTTCCATGGGAAAGCAAAGCAAGAAGTATTTGATATCAAAATAATTTTATTGACCTAATGAAATTGTTTCATCTTCTAAGCATCTGAATTACCCTGTTCACATTATGCAGAGATCTTTCATATAACAACTTCAGTGTTGGAAACCAAGAGCCAAAAACATGCTACCAGAAAAATGTGTATGAAAACTTATA